ATATAATTAAAAATAAAAGTAATTATAATTAAAAATAAAAGTAATTATAATTAAAAATAAAAGTAATTATAATTAAAAATAAAAGTAATTATAATTAAAAATAAAAGTAATTATAATTTTAATAAAGATTTAATAATAAACTTTTTTATATAAGGAAAAAGTTTACGTATTAAAACGAGTATAAAACGAATTTATTAAGGAATTTTATAAACACTTCTTACATGGTTACCAAGGAATTTTTAAAACATTAAAACGACTTTAAAAAGAATTCGATTTTCTAGGAATGCGATAAATAATTAAAAGAATTATAAAGAGTTATAACGTTTATAATAAAGTTAAAGTATCACGATATAAACTATATAAATTATTATAATTAACTTAAATACTTAATAAAGCATGGCATATAATTATATAGGATTTCGTAATAAAACTTTTTAAGTTAAAAAACTTTATTATAAGAGTACTTTATAACAGTATATAAGTAATTATTAATAAACTTACGAAATATACCTACTTTTTACCGTTTAACGAGTTAAACACAATAAAATAATTAGTTTTTAGTTTCTTAAAAGAGTACGTTAATAAATATAAATTATTAAAACGTATTATTTTAAATAAAGACAAGTTATTCACGTTAAAATTTTAGATTAGTTTAATAAAACGAATAAAAATTAAATAAAAGTTATTTATAGCGTATTATCCCTAGATAAACAAATAAACAAAAAAACTAAACTAAATAATAAAATAAAATTTAAAAAGCTATATTAACTAGGAAATGAATAACTAAATAGAATTATTATTAGTAGCTTAAATAACGTATAATATTTTAGTTAATAAAGATATAAAAATATTACTATATAAGGCAATGTATAAGTAAAAAGCAGAAATTTAAAAATAATAAATCGAATTTACGAAAGTATCAAGAGTTAAAACAAAAGCCTTAAAAGTAAAGGTACTATCCGAAAAAGTTTAAGTAATATAACTACGGTTATAAAAAGAATTATAATTTATTTAAGATAAAATGATAAAATATTATAATAGAAAAAGAATTAAGGGACTAATTTTTAAAAGAGGAGATATAATTTACTTACTTCGTTAACGATAAAGCGTATTAATAAAAACGCTTTAAATTAAAATAAAACGGCTTAATAAAAAACTTAAATTTAAGAAGTTAAAATTATATAAAATTAAAAAAGTTATTTTAAAAGTTAATTATAGATTTTTTTTCTAAAAGGATTTAAAATATATTTTATATTTTATGTTTTATGTTTTATTTTTAAAATTAGCATTAAAAAACGCCTCGTTAGAAACCCGGAACAAGATTAAGGAAGAACTAAATAAATAAAAAATAAAAAAGATTTTAAATTTAAGAAAGGTCGGTAATTAGTTATAATATTTAGTTAAATAAAAAGGTTACTTATTAAAAGAAAATACGTGGGAATTATTTAGGCATTTAAAAAACTTAATAATTAAGTTTAATAAGTTTTATTAATAAAATTTAAACCGGCTAAAAAGGCTTGGATTTTAAGATTTTGATTTAAGAAAAATAAGTTTAAGAAGGGGACGGCCTCGAAAGTAATTCTAGCTTGCTTAACTAGAGATTATTACTTAGTTTAAAGACGTTTTTATTCTTTTTTTAAACGTTTTTATTTTTTTAAATCATTTAAATTTTAAAGATTATGTTAAAGTATTTTTAAATTTTTCTTTTTTAATAACTCTTTTTAGTAATAAAGTCGTTTTACACGAGTTATAATCTTAGCTATTTCTCGATTTATTTGAGTTATGGTTTTAGTTATTTCTTAATAAAGTTGTTTTAAGGCTTTCTCGGTTTGACATTTTTATAAAGATAACCGCTTTTCTTTATAGTTTAAGTTTCGAAAAGAGTTAAAAAGAATTTTTATTTTATTATATTAACGACGATAAAAAATATATTTATTATATTTTCTCGATACTTTAAACGACATTATATATTTTAAGTTATAATTAAAATAATAAGAATAAAGCATAATATTAATATTAAAGTTTATTTAATTAATTTAATTAATAAGCTTTTTATGTTTTTACCTTTAATTTTCGCGACGACGCTTAGTATTATAATTAATAAATATAATAAAGATAAAAAAAAAGGACTTATTTAATAGTTTTTAAAGATAAAGATTTTAAGAGGGGAGAAATAATGTTACGAACTAACTAAGGTAAGTAATTAAGTAACAAGGGTATTATTCTTACTTTTTTTGTTTTTAATTTAAATATGAATTTTAAAAGAGAAGGCGATTTATTATTACGTAATATAGATAAGTATAAATAAGACTTATTTAATAGTATTTAATAAAGAATAAATAAATAAAAATAAGACTTATTTAATAGTATTTAATAAAGAATAAATAAATAAAAATAAGACTTATTTAAAGGTATTTAATATATTAATTATAAGGAATAAAAAAAAGAATAATAAATATAAAAAAATAAGATTTTTTATATATTTAGTTATTTATTTTAGTTTTTTAACTATTAATTTAAGATTATAATTACTTTATAATATTATAATAAGAGTACTTTGAAATCTTTTTAATAAATAAAGCATTATAAATCTTTTAAATTAATTTTAATTTGTTATTACCTTTAAATTAAGAAAACCTAATACGTACTTACTTGTGAAGCTAGTTAACTAGGAATATATAGGGAGGTTCGTCACACTTTTATCCCTTTTATTTATTGTAAATTATAATAAGTGTGTGGGGCTGCTTATAACAGTTATAATAACAGCTTTGTAATGGTTGTAACCTTGGCTTAATAACACGGGATAAGTGGATCCCGTGACTTTACTTTGTATATTTTCCCGTTATAATATTTAATATTATTTAAACTTTTTTATTACTAGTTTTTAATTTTAATAATAAATTATAATAAATAAAAAATATATTATTTTTAATTATTATTAAATATATAAAAAAATACTTATAATTAATAATGTTATTTTAAAGCTTATTAAATTATATTATATTTAAATAAATAAATAGTTTTATTATAATAATAAAAGTTATTATAATTAATTAAAGGTTTTATAATAATTATAAACATTTTAATTTTATATATATATATATATTTTGAAAATATTAATATAATTATAAATAAGCGTTTTTAAATAATAATTTATTTTTAAAATGATTTGTTTTAAGTTATTTATCTTTAATTTTAAATAAAATTATTAGTTGTTTTTATTTTTATTTTATTATATAAATAAGGTATAAATTAAATATTAAAGTTAATTTCATTGAAAAAGCACTTATTATTATTTTATCTTTTACTTTTAACTTTAAACTTTTTAATAAATAATAATAAACTTAAAAGGTTTTATATAACTTTTTGTTAATATTAAAAAATAATTTATAAATACATTATAAAAAGTTATTTAAATAATTAATGAAAAATAAAACTTTTAACTTTTAACGAAAATTATTTTAAGTTTGTTAAACGTTAAAATTTTGATTTAATTTAATAAAAATAAATAAAAATAAAAAATATTAATTATATTTTAAATAACGATATAATAAGTTATATATTAAATTTAAATATGCTTTTTAAAGTTTAAATTAAATATTATTATATTTAAAATAAATTTTAATAATTTTATAAATTTTAATAATTTTATAAATTTTAATAATTTTATAAATTTTAATAATTTTATAAACTTTAATAATTATATATATTAAAATTAAAATATTAAATATAATATAAATATGTAACGAACCTCCTTGTGTGTTCCTAGTTAATTGATTTCACAAGTGAGTATATACTAGGTTTTCTTAATTTAAAAGTAATAATGAATTAAAATTAGTTTAAGAGATTTATAATGTTTTATTCGTTAAAGAGATTTTAAGGTACTTTTATTATAATATTAAAAAGTGATTATAGTTTTAAATTAATAATTAAAGAACTCGAATGAATAACTAAATATATAAGAAATCCCGTTTTTCTTATACTTGTTTATTTTGTTTTTCATTCCTTATAAATGGTATATTAAATACCTTTAAATGAGTCTTATTTATATTCATTTATATCACGTGACAATAGGTCGCTTTCCCTTTCAAGATCCATGTCCGGTGCGGACGCGAGAAGAGTAAGAACAGTACCCTTGTCGTATAATTATTTACCCTGGTTAGTTCGTAACAAAATATAATATAAACCGTTTAATTATTATTATATATATATAAATAACATTTTTCTTTTCTTTAAAAAAACTAAATTAATTAATTTAAAAATAACATATTATATAAACAAGTAAGTTATATAAACGAGTGAACTAGTTTAATTTTTTATATAAAATCAGATTTTTTTAAATATAAATAACTTAACTAAGAAAATTCGGAAAATTCGCGGACCTTTTCTTTTAATATCGAAATAAAATAATTTAATTAAAAACAAAAATCGAAAAATTTAAAATTAAGTGCGTGTCACTACACGCAATAAAGCTTTCGTGAGATAAATGGTGTCGGCGACGAGAAATGCCCCCTTGCGAGACCTGGCTACATATTCACCGGTAGTTAAGCTGGTTGCAAATTCGTGCGCGGACGAGAGTGCCATTGTCGGCGACGAGGGTCGGCGACAGCAACGAGATAGTGCGAACCTTACTTACACATTCGGCAAGAGGTCCAGCTTGAACCTTAATCCGGCCTTCAATGTTCTTCGTCTCCTCGGAGTCGTCACGTGATGAAACTTTTTGTTTTTGTTTCTGTTTTTGTTTCTGTTTTTCCACTAAGCGTGGCTGGCTCAATGGTAGAGCATCGGGCTTCTAATCCGAAGGTTGTGGGTTCGAGCCCCACGTCACGTGCTTTTTAAAATACGGTGATAATAAATATAAGCCTTTCCATTTCTTTATATTAAATTTATAAATTTCTTTTTTATTTTATTAAGTTTTTTTTAAAAAAATTTTAATTTTAATATTAAAATTATGAAAATTATATATTTAACGTATTTATAAGGTGGTTAATATATCTAGGGTTTAAATATAAATTTTTAATAGTTAATTAAAATTTGCTCTTTATTAAAATTATAACTATGTTCGTTTTCTTTTTAATTTACTTTATTTATTACATTATATTATATAAATAAATAAGTTATTTAATATATTATATAAAATCAAGCTTTTTAAAAATTTATAACTTTATATATAAAAATCGGAAATAATTCGGACCTTTTTTTATAGTTATATAATTACGTAAAATAACTAAATATAAAATTGAAAAATTAAAGATTAAATGTTTAATAAAAGGTCCGTGCGTTTTGTTTTAATTTTAACTTTTATACGTTTTTTTCGTGTTTTTTAATATTAATTTTTTTAATTTTACTTTTAATTAAACCTTATAATTATATAACTAAAAAAAAAGTCCGAGATTTTTACGATTTTTATATGCGAAATCATAAATTTTCAAAAAACTTAATTTTATATAATATATTAAATAGCTTATTTACTTATATAGCTTACTTGTTTATATAATATATTATTTAATTTTTTTAAAAAAAACTTATAAAACTTATATAAAATTATAAAAAATTAATTAAAGTTTTATATAAATAAATAAGTTCGAATTTTTTAAATTTTTTTTAAAAATTATATATGTTTTTAAAAAATATAAATTTCAGTAATTAATAAAATGCGTTATTATTTATACGAAGTATTAAATACCTTGCATAGACCAAGGTATAAATGACGTTTATAGGTCTCATTACGGGAAGAAATCTAATTAGTTACTAGTTTAGCTCACGACTAGCCATCTACTTACCGAAGTTCCCAAGTACGTACGGCGCTATCGCATAGTTAAGGAAGTGAGTAGGTACACAACGGACCAATAGTAATTCCAGAGATACCCTCGAATTCTCTAGAGTGTATAAGACCTTTCTGTGAGTCCTGTCCTCTTTGCTCTCTTTGCCTGGGCATCTCCCTCCCCCCCCCCCCAACCCCCAACCCCCAACCCCCAGGCGGCTAACGCTTATATGAAGGTAGAGTGTGTAAGGTAGAAACCCCTCTTGAGTGTCTTGTGGTGCATCTCGTCTAGTCCCACAAATCCTTAGAAAATATTCGACATATCCAGATTGCCAACGCCCATTGTCTTGGTTATCAGGGTCCCTTATTATTAAACTGCTTTAAACAACCTTATTGTTCCCCGCACAAAGACTTAGTAATGATATATGACCGTGAACTCCCAAACGGCCCTCCTAATCCGAAACTTGCCGGGTTTCCCTATAATGGTAACAGAAACAGCCTCCCTATATTCTGCAGGCAAGACAATGTTCAACAACATTCACATGATGCATCGTTTGCTCTATCTAGACAGTGGCAGTATATAAGTGCCACTGCCGCCACTACCCGGTGTTGTAGGCAATTATCGGAAATGCGATACGACGCACAGAACTTGAACTTGAACTTGAACTCGAACTCGAACTCGAACTCGACTATCATATCTGAGGTTTACACCTTCGGTAGCAAAAGGCTCGAAGAGTTAAGAGACCAGACAACCCGAATCCGTTAGATAGCAAGAATTTGCAATAACACAATAATCAGGCAAGTCTTGGTAGAGAAGTAAGTACCTTAGGACCTCTAGTAAGGCAAGGTTACTTCTTAAGCTCTTCTCTCCCATCCCGCCCACAAATCGTGCCAACCTCTTCCCTCCTTTTCCCCGACCAATAGGATTATATACGAAAATAGCACAACGCCGGCATGTCAAGCAGCTATAAGCTAGGAAACGTTAATCCTGAACCGGAGGTGGCAATGGCCCCTCTTCGCACCTCACGGTTTGTTGAACACATGGACCGAAGCCCTGCACCTCTAGATAAGGTAGAGCTGGCTGGGCGTCCAAGTCCCGAGCATTTTTCTCCCCCTCCACGAACTCCCGCTCTCGACATTCCTCAACCATCGCCCACACCTTACCCCTTTCGGGGCCGCAATCGACAGGAGGCAAGGGGCAAGAGGAGTATCATTAACAACAGCCCTATTGCCCCCAGCTCCAGTGAGCGTGCAGTAGAAGATTATGCGATAGACTCAACTGACGAAATCGAGTTTGAGGTCACTAATCAATCTATAGACGAGGCCTTGAAGGATGTCCCGCCACCTCCGCCTCCCAAAGACCCTCCACGCGAGACCGTCGAGTTTGGCCGTGATAAAATTCGGGCTATTCCCCGTCAAGATAGGATTCGAAACGCTGATTCCGGGAATTTAATCCTTCCTAATGCTGGACCCGTTTCCACCCCGTCCTTGATCCCTCAGCGTCGAGGCGCTATCCGTCGACAGAGAGACACTAGGCCCCAAGTTTTCCAGCGTGGGAATGCCAAAGATGTCCGGCCGAGCCAAGGGCTACGCTTAAATTCACTTCCGACCCAGAACAGTGGCCGCAAACCGGCGACAACCTTTGAGGATCTGCTGAAAAAGGTACCACACCCAAAATCAGCTCCAATTCCCAACCATGACCCATCATTCTCCTCCTCTTTGCCCTCTTCCCCAGCTACAAGTATGACCCCCAGTATGAGAAGCCTGAAATCGCTAACTACTTCGACGCGTAGGGGTATCGCGAGCATAGGTAAGACCGCCCTCGAAAAGACACGGCCGATGTTGAAGAAAGGCCAGCAGATCATTGCGCCGAGGACCACTGCTGTTCGGAGGGCCACCAAACCTCCTAAGGTAGCGTCATCTAATAACCACAATGACCGCGACGATAGTGTATTTATAATTGATCCCACGAACACGAACCCGGCGACTCTCTTAACGCAGATGAAGCGAGCCCTGGAGAAGAACAGGAACAAGTGGACTCGGGACCTACCCGAGCCCACGATCCCGATGGGGGTCGAGGAATTCCGCGAGGTAGAGCGTATCCTGACGGCTCAGACTCAGTCGCCGGATCAGAGCCCCTCATGGAACCTGGCTCGGCATTCATGGAAAAGTATGGACCTGCGTTCGCAGTTCGAGCATCACTACTCGAAGCCTGAAGATAATAATGGGAAAGAAGTAGCGCGGAAGAGCCGCTGGAACAGACTGGAGGCACGGCGGAGGGTCCGTGTGCATAGCAAGGTATAGTTGGACTTTATCGAGCGTTGGGAGACCTGGGTTTCGGAGCAGAGTGCGGATGTTCAGGTCGAAGCGCGCCATCTCAACGAGCAGGAGGACGGCCAGAATTTATCCCCTCTCCGTGATCCCTCTAAATTCAACCTTAGGGACTACTTTGATTATTCACTTCAGCTGGCCGACACAGCCTTTGAGAGACAGAAGGACATCGCAGAGCGATTAGTCCTAAAGAATGCGCGCCGGTTCCCAAGCATGCGGTAAGTACGCATACACAGCCATTTCTGGCAGCGGATAACGGTTATGCATCACCTACCTACTTAGGTAAGTTACAAATGAGTAACCAGATTTAAGTAGCGGGATAGCGGGACTACTCTTGATACTTTCTTTTGTCAGGCCTTTGTTAGGGCCGCCTTGTCCTTTCATTGTTTCATTACTTGTCGTGTATTTGGGTTTCTTAATTATCATGTAATCATATTTTGAAATAAAAAAGCAATCTGGAATTGTCAAAGATTTTTAACGGAAATAAATATACTATGCAAATCCAAGATAGTCCTCGTAATAACCAGTCATTCCAAGTATAATGAGCTGCCTATGATATGAATGTAGGAAGTTGGGATATACCCCGTTAGAATTCCAATAATAACGACTAGTATTTAGCACTTAAATATCGCTATAAACTGGTTGGGAGAACATCGAAATGCCAGGTCGTGATTTAGATACTTTATTATATTCTTGTTATATGGCGAGGGAAACCGGTAAGGAATAAGGTGGATGATGACTCGGAGCCCTGGGTCGGCTATTCCAGTGGTCATACCAGCTAACCCTTGACCCTCGCCTTGGCTAGATGCTGTAGGTAAGCTAATCTATTTTTCGGCACGAGTTTTAACGTATTTTCAACCAAAGAGCCAACGCATGTTTCGGACGCCGTATGAAATGTAGATTCACTGGATGACGACATCTGTAAATCGTGTTTGTAGATAGTGAATAACAGAACTAGCCGAATGTAGACACGACACAGGGACACTTGCTCATCATCTCTAGTAGACTCAAATAGAGATAAAGAGAAATGAAGTACTTCCGACAAATTATGTAGGTCGAACTACCTAAAGTGTCTGTTAGGGTTAGTGGTTTGTGACGAGTAACCTTTCACATGATTACCGTAGATCACCGACCACTCCATGATTAGAGCAGAGAGGGTTGACAAGAATAGGGAGAGATCAGTATCTCCGCATGAGGGTTGTAGTCGTGAACTGCTGCCAACTCTAACTAGCGAAGTAGCCATGCTAGTCTCCGGAATGGCGGTGGGAACCTGTGTCGTAGTGGCACAGCGTCCAAATCGGTAAAACCCGTTAAATAGGTCTGACGACAGCCTGTCAAAATGCAAGGCTGAACTGCCCGGCGTTACGTTGTACGAATATGCGCTGGGTTTCACGCTCCTGCAAACCCGGGTGCCGCTATCAGAGTTTCGATATTGGTATGCACCGGCGGTAAGGGCATGATGATCGACGGCGGGAGTTATGACACTCAGGAGAACCAAGGGCCACTAAGAGGCGTTAATTACGAAAATGCTTGTATGTAGCTAGATTTATGGCCGGTCCAGAGAGTTGGGTGTGTCCGAGCGAGATAGATACGATATTCGGGAGAAGTGGTAGTGTACGTAGTGAGAAAGAACACGAACGGGGGAGATCGTCTCTTAGGACTTCCCGTTGGGGGCAAGCTCGGAGCTGAGCAGTCCCCAGAACCAGCGCCATGGAGAACAATCTGATACGCGTAGC